TTTTCTAGTCATAATTTTCCACACTGGAATTCCTCTTGGAACTGACTTTGAAGTCAGTAACAAGCCTCCCATTGGGTTTAATGCAAACAGAATCAGCCCTCACTGGAGTTTTTAGTGGAGCAGAGAAAAACATTTTTCCTGTTAAAAGATTTTCCTATTAGTACAAACACATAAAAGACTTGTCAAAGTTATAGTGTTAAATATTTTAATGTCTTGCCAAACCTCATCAATTCTCATTGTTTAGCAAAAATGGCACTGACATTCTGAGTTGCTAGCTATGGCATTTTCTGCGTATTAAGATCAATAATATGCTTTACAAGGAAAAAAGGGTTGTCTAATGAAAAAAGTCTTTTAAAAGTCAGGACAATTCCAACTGCTATGAATGATTATAAATTATGTGGTTATTTTTATGGGGGTGGGGTAGGGGGTGATTAAGACTTTGGGCACATGAACCATACTCCCCCACTTTCTTTCCTTACCAGAAATTGCGCTTCCCAAAACCTCCCCTTATTATCAGCTGTGTGAATTCTAGTGGTGATTGCCAGTGTAAGACACTAAGTTTTCTGTTTTAGCATCAACCCTGAGTTCTTAAAATGCTTATTGGAATAAATGCCTTTGACAGGCTCTAGTGACAGAAGGAAGGATTTGGTTCAGAAGGAAGATTTGGTTTCAATTTGATTGCTTCAAAGATTTGTTTCAAGTGTCTCAAAAGCTGGGCTTTTTGGACCTTATGCTCTACTGGCTATTCAAGGAACCTCAGCAGATATTAGGTGCATGGGTCTGGGGCTTTGAGTTCCTTCATCCAAAGGAATGCAGATGCACATTCAAAGGCCCCCTCACCTGTGCTGACTTTGCCCTGGCTCCACAAAGACTGTACGTGAGGCCAGACTAAACTACAAGGACTTTTTTTCTCAAATGTTAAAGGCAACATGAACTCTGAAGAAGGAACCCAGGGAGGATGAGGAGCCACAGCGAGGACATGGCAACATCTGTGGGTGACAGAGGATGCAAGAGCCTGCAGGATTTATCCCCAGGGACAGGTGTCTGAATGTGGGGAGTGCTCCCCCTGGGCACTCCAGCTGCAGTTAGCTCATGCCAGTGATGCCTCCTTAAGTGTCATCCTGTTCTGGTGCTTTTGAGGACATTTCCAGCCACATGGGCTCAGTTATGCACTGTCCTTATCCAGGACAAAAGGTTCATCACAACTTTGTACAACACAAAGTCCAGTTTGGACCTTTTCCAAAGCACTGGCTGCTTCAGACTGACATATCAGAGGTTTTAAAAACTCCCTCCTTTTTTCCCTTGAGAACAAAATCTTCCATCACTTTCCTGCAAACATCTCAGCATTGCCTAGGTCTGTCAGGAATGTCTGCCCAGCTCAAAAGCTTTTAGTCTTTTCTTGCATTGAAGTGGTGGAAAATAAATCTTTTTAGTCAGAAACATAAAAATACTTTCTTTATATGTAGATATGAGGCTTGGGAGGCCTTATTCAGTTCCTTAGGAGGGTTAAACTTCTACTTCTCACTCTCTGCAACAGTATATTGATGTCTGGGTAGAAGCTGTTCTGGTGCTGCCACAGGAGAGGGAAGAGGGACTGAATCATTAATCATGATATGGAGATGAGTGCAGTGTCAAGAGAACTAAGACTATTTCTCATCCCTGTCCTTCAGATGCCTGATATTATGTGAGCTACACACCATGGTTATGGGAAATGTGGCTGTAAACTCCCCAAAGCAGAGAGATGAAGATGGACATTGCTAGCTCCTCCAATACCTGCATGACTAACAACCTGCTCTGAGGAACGGGGCTGCTGGTGCCACCGTGTTCCGTGCAGAGCCCTGTTTGTGTGAGCATGGATTACATGTGTACTGCCAGAACAGACTCCTCCAGGGAGGAGGCACTCTTTGTCTGTGAATCCTGATGGGATTAGGTGTGAGATACGCACTTAGCCCTGTCAAGACCAAAAGGCTTCAGCGCATGTGTGGAGCAGAACTTCAGGCATCTTAGTGGCTTCCCTGGTGCCAGGGGAGTTACTTGGTAAAGACATGATGATATGAAAAAGATAGTCTAAATTTAAACACCAGATTTCCACCCAATCCCCAGTGTTGTTCTGTTTGAGAGCTGGGCTCGTGTCCCAGTTAAGTAATAGGAGCTTCCTAGGTGTAGACGGTATGAAGGATTGCAGTGACTTTTTCTAAGTGCTGTGTCTTGGAATCTCTGCAAAAACGTAGTTTTACTCTAGATTTGTTACGGCAATGAGAAATGAGCACACATATGTACTCATGCTACACATATGTAGCATTTATTGTAGTGTACTGCAGCATGTTGATTTATGCACACTAACAGACTGCTCTTGTTTTGTAACCTCTCAATATGACACAGTGTGAATGAATGCAAAATTTTAATAAATATATAGAAACAAATAGTCATTAATATGTGTTACAAATTCCCAGTTTCCTCCTAAATCAGAACTTTATTTAAATTGTTACTTAAAATGTTTATAAGACCATTTTGAATCCTCATGCAGAGCCAAATGGTCTTAATTCCATTTACCATCTCCTACCTGCTCTCCAACAGTCCATAGCCATAAAATCTTTCCCCATTTCCCATTACAACTGATGTCAGATGACTCCATGTCTATGACTGCAGATCTTGGCAGATCACAGGACAGGTCACATGCAGTCATTAAGCAGGAGCAAAAGAACATCCAACAGGTTGTTGGACTTGAGCTAGAGATATTTGTTGTGTTTGGGTGAACTAGATGCTGGCTGGAGGAATGTAGATCCAAAGAAAGTCAGGTATTGCAAGGGATCAGTTTGGAAGTGGACTTTGAGCTGACACCTAATTTGTACAAGAAAGTAGCAGGAGATGACTTAAATCTTCAGAGGCCCAAAAAGATAATTAAAACCACCCCTGAATGACAATGGGTACTAATTTGCTGCAAGTCACTGTATCCCCATGGAGGAAAAAAGGGAATCTGGCAGCTCCCCGGGCCCACTTTGAGAAGCTGTATGTACGCTGTTTGTATTCTCAGCTCATCTCTAGAGTTCCCTGCTGCTTCTTTATGGTGCTGTGAGGGTGCTGGGGGGCCAGGTCTGATAGGGCAGAAAAACGCCAGGAAACACGTTTTGACAGAAAAGTCTTGCGCGGCTCCCATGTGTGCTCCACATTGTCTATCGCGTGCCTTTGATGTCGATTTGGCTCGTGGGAAGGCGTGAGGCCAGACCCTCATTCCGGGACGGGAGTGCCAGCCCCGCACACCCATCGCAATGACAGATGACACCGTACAACCCCAGGTGAGGATCCGACCCGTTGCCAGCACACAAGGCAGCCTTTTACGTTTTTTCCTTCCTTTTTCTTACCCTTTTTTTTCCCTCCTTTTTTTCTCTTTTATTTTTATTTAACTTTTAAATTTTTCTTTATTTCTTTCATAATTTTTCTATTTTCTTTTTTTTCCCCCTTCTTGTATTTTTATTTTTTCTTCTATTTTTCTTCTTTTTTTTTAATCTTTCTTTTTTTTTGGGGGGGGGTTATTTTTTCTTTTTTCTTTTTTCTTTTTTTTTTTCCTTTCACTAATGACTAGAAGTCTGCTGTGTTTCTCTCTGCAAATGCTGTTCTTTCCTCCCCGAATGAAGCACGGCCTCAAATTGCTGTCTTCCCAAGTAGGCGCAGGCCAGATTGTGCCCCGGGCGCTGCCCCGCAGAGGGGACGTGCCCGGCGGGAAGCCGGCCTGGCTGCTGCCCGGCCTCGGACCTGCTCGGACCTGGCCTGAAAAGCAATCCCCACCTTCCTGCGGAAAGGAAGCGCTGCTCAACAGCTCTGAGCTTCCAGCTCCCTGGCTGCAGGCAGCTCCCTCTGCCTTGCTCTGCGGCCGCTCTCGGCTCTTACGTGCAAGACACCGACGGCAAAATACTAATAATCAAAACGGTGGGAGTCTCTCCTCTCCTCTCCTCTCCTCTCCTCTCCTCATTTTTTCCTTTATTTTTCCTAAGTGAATGAATCAGGTCTGAAAACATTGTTTAGATGTGTTATACCGTGACTTCATAGATTATTAAAGGAGGGGTGGATGTATGCATTTATCCATTATTTTTGTACACTGCAATGTACAGTTACGGGGGAAAAGGAAAAAAAAAAAAATCGGCAAACGCCTGTTCTTTTATAAGGAGGTTTTTGAAAACTGTGCCACGAGAAATTTGGAAACGAATTTAAAGCACTTGAGTAAGTTTTGCAAAAAGTACATGAAAAAAAACCAGCCTCGCCTCTCCGCAGTGCACCGAGGAGAGATCTCATAGTGTTTGCCTACTGTCAGCTGGGAGCTCTCTCCTTCAAACTGTTTTTATTTTTTCTTGGGGCCTGAAAGGGAGTGTTTGATATCTGCTGGTAACTCCAGGCACCTCTCGCACCCTCCGATAAATGAGATAGCTTTCTGCCGGGAAGCGCCGGCGGTGACACCGTGCTGCCTCTCAAACAGGGCGCGCGTGTCTCGCTGCCCTACCTCGCCCCAGCACGGGGCAGCGCCAGGGAAATCCTGTCCCTTTCCCACGGGATCAGGGGCTGGGGGAGGTGCCACAGCTCAGCCCGGGGAGGGGGAGCCGGGCAGACCCTTCCGGGAGATCTACATCCAAAAGGACACTCCTGTCACATCCCATCCAAAGGACCCTCTTGTCACACCCCACACCACAGCGCATGTCCCATCCTGCCCTATCAGCAAACCGGAGCATTTCAGTGAAGTTCCCACATGCATTTATGCCTACATGTTGATATGTGGTTACATGTATATCGTGTGTTTGTGTATGATTTTATATTTATAATATGTAAAATGTGCATTTAAATAGTCCTCACTTTGTGTTGCTTGTAGATTTGCAAGCTGTGAAACAAATGAAGGGAAATTACGGGACTAACTCACTATTCTTTAAAAAGGTAACAGGAACAATCTAATATATATTCGACTGTAATAATTTATCATGAATTAATCGTGTATGTGTGTGTACGCACAGGCGGGGAGGAGCCGCGCCGCCCAGGAAAGCACCTGGAGCAGGGGGTGAGAAGGGGGATGCGTTTGATCCCACCGCTGCTGCTCGGGTGGGTGCGATATTCGGCTTTAAACACGAGCTCGGCTCCTTCCCATCCTGTCTGCGCCTCTGCAGTGAGAGCGGCAGTACACTGCCCTCCCGGCTCCCGGGAAGGGGAGCAGGAAAGCCAATGTGCCCTGCGGAGCACCCGGGGCATACGGAGTCCTGCATCCCGCCGCTGCCGCTGCCACCTGCCCGCCTGAGGCAGCGAGTTGGCAGCCGCGGGCAGCAAGCGGGGACAGCTCCCCGCGGGTCACAGCTGCTGCCACAGCCCGCCCTGGCCCCCCAGCTGCGGTGTCCGGCGCTGCCGTGCTCGGCTCCCAGTGCTCCCAACCTCGTCTGCAAAGAGAATCCTTTCCCTGGAGGTCCCCCCAGCTCTCGGCTTGGGACTCCTTGTGCCATTTGAATAAATGGTACCACAGAGATGAAACGCACTCATCCTCCGGGTGGGTAGGGTTTACACCTATCCCAGGCTCCGGCCAGCAGCAGGCCGCCAGGAAAGACCCTTTGTAGTCACACCTGAGCGGCGAGGGCGTCTGCATGGCTTGTGTGGCACAGCCCAGCACAGGTCCCTCCGTCTCGACAGGACTTAGAGGCCTGCCGGGGCCTGAGGACCGTGAGGGAGGAAGTGGCCCTATCCTGCACGGACATCCGCCCTGCTGAGATGGCCGAGAGCGTGGAGTGTTTGGATCGGGCTGGGGGGACACGGGGAGGCACCGAGAGCTTCACGCCAGCGGGCGATGGGGGAAAGCCGGGTGAGGCGGGAGAGTTGCCACTTTGAGAGCACAGCCCCAAAGATGTAACCCGGCTGCGGCTCCACCGGCCCCAGGAACGGTGGGGAGGGGCTGCAGCCGGCCAGGAGCTGCCTGCGGGGCTGTGCGTGTCCCGGACAGGGACAGGGCAGCCGGGGAAATCGCGTCCCTCTCTGGGAATCAGCCTGTGCCTCGGGAGCTGTCCTGGCACCGCACCCGCAGTTTCCCCCGTGCCAGCCCGCAAGGCATTTTCCGACGGTGAGGGAAAAAGCCTAACCAGGGTTGTGGAGGGTCCCGCTAAGTTCACATCACCCGTGGATTTCCCTTTCACGCCCCAAGAATTTAACGGGGTTTGAACGGAGAGCAAACGCGAAGCTGAGGGATGCTGCTAAGCTTACAAGGCTGAGAGTGTTCTTCGGGGGCTGGGGACGATATAGCTAAAGGCGCATCCCGCACACCTGGTGCACACCGACCTGGTGTCCCAATCTTCCCCAGCACTATGGCAAATTAAAGGCTGATTACAACCTGAAGGATGCAAGAAGAGGCGCATCACTGTGCCTGAGGGGCTGGAGGGGAGCACGGCAACTCTGGACTCAGAGATGCTCTCACTTTACGCCGGAGCCAAGTCCGTTGTTTTGAGAAGACAGACACGCCGGGCAAATCCCTTCAGGCTCTGAATGACAGCCTACATGTCCCATTGCTTGGAAGGCTGGGCACAGCTGGCCTGACCGCTAAACATTGCAGTTAGGTTTTCTGGGTGAATTTTGTGCTTCTCGGAGACAAGTGCTCTTGCTGCGAGCTGGGGAGACCCCAGCCGAGCGGTTTTCCTAGGGACGGTGTTTGCAGGTTTGGAAAGAAGTGGCATGAAATCTCACCCGGAATTTTCCAGCTACTACTTCACTGGGAAAATAGGATAAGAAATGCTCCCCCCGATCGGCTCTTTCCTGCGGTGCGCGTTCGGTTATCGCATCGTCCCCGTGAGCTCAGGGAAAAAGAGGCCCTTTCTCTGCCCTTGGCCTTGCGGGGTGACTGGACGCACTGGGCGAGGTCCGCCGGAGCGGAGCGGAGCCGGAGCGGATCCGGAGCGGAGCCGGAGCGGAGCGGCTGCTGCCCTCGGCCCCCCGCCAGCGACGGTGAAAGATGAGAGGCTAAATAGCCCCGGTTAAAAAAAAAAAAAAAAAAAAAAAAAAATCCGTCAGCTACAGGTAAGATCCATTCTGGTTTTGAAGACTTTTACAGCCCCCTACTCCCTCCCTTCCCTCCCCACCAGTCCCGTGTGGCTTTCCTGCCGCCCGGAGGTGCTGGTTGTAGAGTGCAGGCCACATAGCTGATCCCCAGCCAGCTCTCCACTCCGAGAGACTGGCATCTGAAATATTACCCGGGGAGCTGGAGCGGCTCCGGCAGTATAGCCCCGCTCTTTCCCCAAAAGGTATCCGGGGAATCCTTCCCCTCCCTTGCCCGCCGAAGCCCTTTCAAAGAAAGTCAGCCCGATGTGTTAGCCTAAGTACGAAGCATCCGAGGAATTTCCACCGGGGAAACGACCCTTTCCGCGGGCTGGCGGCGCTTCCCGCGCTCGGCCCGTCCTGCCCGGGGCTGGGCCGCCCGGCGCAGGGCGTACCTTTAGGCATGGAAGCGTTTAGCGGTTTCGGCGGTATTAACTCCTAACAGGGTGTGAAAAGTATTGGGGATTGAAAAAGCTGTGGGAAAGTGGATTCTTTCCAAGTCAGGCGGGCTGGAGCTTTCCTCTACTCTGCTGGCGGACACCTTGCGCTGCTCCTGCCGCAGGGCCCCCCGAGGAGCAGCCCCTTCCCGGCGGCTGGGAGCCAGACAGCCCGGCAGGTGCGATGCCCCTCGCAGCTTGACCGTGAGCTTTTATAGGTGGAAAACACGAAATAGCGTTTTGCCACCAGCCTGCCCACGCCTGTCACCCTGCCAGCGCCATGGGCGCGGGAGATGCCGCTCAGTGGTAGCTCTTCAGAAGGGGCCCTGGCCACGCCAGGCAAGGTCTTCCCATCTTCTTTTGCTGTGGGAGAGGAGGCTGGGCCTTGCTCTGCCTCCAGCCGCCGCGCCCAACACCCCTGCGTTCTTCCATCCCAGCCCCGCCGCCGCAAGCGGCTCAGCGGCCAAGGCACCGCCGGGCTCGCAGAGGCACCCGGACAAAAGGACTCGTCTCCCAGCAACTTTTTGTCGGTTTTTATCCCCTTTCTAAATTTTTCACCAGTACGTCCGGGTTATTTTAAAGTGTGGCGGGTCCGGAAAATGACCATGGTACAAATATTTCAGACCTGATCAAACCGGAGCAGCAGTTAACACTTGCTCTAATTAGAGCGGATATTCACACCGCTGGCCCGGCCTCCCCGAAGGAGCATTACGATATGTAACCTATGTCCACATTCAAACTCTACCCTTTCACGGGGGGGAGGTAGGGGGAAAAACATCGAAGTTTGAAAAAAAAATCTTAAACCTCGGGACCAAAAAAATAAGAATAATGGTAATAATGATAATTCTAATATCTAGCACAGATATTGATGATGATGATGATGATGATGATGATGATAATAATAATAATAATAATAATGGTTGGTTTCTCCTTGCCATAGAAGACAGCGGATGGCTAAGAGTTAGCTTTGATAACCTGCGCTCGCCCTGGCCGTGGCTGCCCCGGGGAGAGAAGGCAGCTGCAGGCTCCGGTGCTGCTGGCCTGCCTCTGCCGCTGCCCTGCCTCCCCGCTCGCCCAGCGCTGCCCCTCGGGTTCGGCTGGTTCCGGTGGTGGTACCGAGTGCGGGGGTGAAGCCGCCGCCAAAGGGAGCCTTCAAGGGCTCCCCGGGAGGGAGCGGTGCGGGGCGAGCCGCTGAAGGGGGAACCGAGCGTCGCATCGCTTACCTGGCTTAGCAAAAGACGCGGCAAGAAAAACACTTCTCTGGGAAAAAAAAAAAAAAAAAAAATTAGTACAAATCTTCCTCAAGTACTCCCGGACCCGCGTCGCGGGTGATGCCCTTGGCCAGCCGAGGGGAAAGGCACCGGCAGCGGCTGTTCCGCCGAGCAGGGCGGGAGCGGCCGCAGCGTCTGGCTCGCTCAGCGGTTCCGAGAAACCGCGAGATAAAATGACAGGCTCTTTCTGTGGAGAAATCAATTTCTAAGCATCAGAGAGAGGTTTAAAACAAATAAACTTAAGAAAAAAAAAAAAGAAGAAAAAAAAGCCCCCCTCCGACCTGTGATTGAGAGACAGTTAAAAATAATTGCCCCTGTTAAGAGACAGGAGACCAGGTTACAGGGAAAACTACCTTCTTTCAAAGCCCGCTAATGGCCATACGATTCATTAGGTTACTTAATCCTAATAACCTTGCTAGCATCAGTCCCGGTGACCCAGCCCATTAAGCACCACCAGTGAAACCCTATAAAACAGGCAAGGGGAATGTCCAACATCTGAGCACATTTATTAGCATTATGTTCCTGAGATAACATGCCCCCGGCTCCCCTGCATACTGCCGCGGGCAGGTTGGGGAAAGAGGGAGCTCTGCTTTCGGAAGGGCTGAGCACAGGAGCAGGACTCAGAGAGGCGGATGGCTGGTCCCACCGTCACTGTCATTCACGGTCTCCCGTTCTCTCTGCTTTCCTCCCCCGGCCCCCGTCTCTCCAGCCAAACAATAGCTACATTTGTGGCGAGCATTTTTTCCTTCTGATTAAACCCAGGCCAACCAATGGCCGCCAGAACGAAACAAAACGCAGAGAGTAACATTTCGATCATAAAGGGGAGTTAAAAACTCAAAAAAAAAAAAAAAAAAAAAGGGTGGGGGTGAGAGACAAAAAGTCTCTTACACCGAAACGTGCTAGTGAGTCAATGCCTTATCACCCTCCGTGAAGGAGTCGGCTGAGGGGGAGAGAGGGAAAAGAGAAGTAAGGGAAGCAGCAAGGCCGGCTCCTCCGGTGCCTTCCAGAGCTGCAGACAAACCGGACGCCTCCCCGGCATCTCCCTGCCAGGGTGAGGTCTCTGTAATTTACGACACGCGAGTTGTTACGGTATTTGCCGCTGCTCGGAGCGCAGGCACATGCAAGCGATTAGAAGAGCGAAGGGCTCTCTCCAGCCCTGGAGGGACCTCTCCCAGCGCCGCTGTCACCCCCTTCCTCCGGCCCTCTCCGGGCAGGCAGGCAGGCAGATGCACTCCGCTCCCGCCTCGGGGTGGCTCCCCGCGGCCGGAGGGAAACCCCTCCCAGGATCTGCAGAGCAGCAAACCTTCTTCAGACTTTGACTGTCTACAGTCCCCCTACCAACACTCTTTATTTTTCCTTTCCATTGCTGAAGAAGAATGTGCCCAGAGGCAGTGGGATGGCGTTAAGAGATGCCGGCCCGGGGTACCCAGGGCTCCCGGCGGACGCCGGTCCAGGCTCCCGCCGCTGCCCACCCAGGCAGCAGCGAAGGGGCGGTGGCAGGAGCAGCCGGGATAACGCCCGGATGAGCCGAAGGTGATCAGGCAGCGTTCAGCCTCCGCAAAAAGCTGACGTGACCCCTCGCTATTTTCGCAATAGTTTTAACACTCTGGCAGAGATGAAAGCAAGAAAAGCGGCGGGGAGGGGACCTCTGCGCCCTGCCGAACTGGCCATTCCCTGTGCTGCCGGCTCTGCAGAGGGTTTGCCTGTGATTAACGCTGAGGGCTGATCCTGCAAGCCCTCCTCCCCGGGAGAAGCGTCCGCTGCCTTCGCCGGGGTGCCAGGGGCACCAGGGCTGGGGGGGACGTGTGCCCTGCGCCCCGTCCCACACCTCCGCTACTGACCTCTGCGATCCTGCTGTTAAATGTTTTGCCTCTTTTTTTTAAATTTGTTTGTTTTTCCTCAAGGGCTATTTTAAGTAATAAAATGTTGGTCTGGCTTGGAAGTTGTCATAACAGGAGCCTGGTTTATTTATTGGGTTATTTATTTCTTTTACCAGCAACAATATCCCGAACACAGTCAGGCTGAAAGAAGGAATTTCCAAAAACAAGGGGGAAAATAGGGCGTGAGAGGGGGGAGCAGTAAGAGAGAGAGAAGAAAAGAGAGGGAAGAGAGGGAGAGGGTGGGAGAGCAAGACAGAGAAAAAGCAAGAGATAAAGAGAGAACTCTAGAAGAAAGCAAGAAGGAGGAGAGAAGCAAGAAGTGGAAAGAAAGCAAGAGAAAGCAAGAACGCAAGCAATAAAGAAAGGATGAAAGAGGAAGAGAGAGAAAGAGAGAGAAAGAGAGAGAGAGAAAGGAAGAGAGAAAGAGAGAAAGAGAGAGAGAGAGAGAAAGAAAGAAAGAAAGAAAGACATGCCAGCTTTTCAAAATTAAAACAAGAAGCCTCGAAGCATTCATTTTGGTATTAATATTATTTAACATTAAAAACTCCGGGAACTTCAAAAAACTTCTTTCAGGGAAAAGCAAGAGAAAAGAACTATTCTCTGGAAACCATTTGTTCACAGCTCGAACTGTGCCGTTTTGGCTTAGAAACAAAACTCGAGACGCCCAACCCTGTCCCTCCTCCCCCCCCAGCATATATCTTTTCAGCACACATTTTAAAATAAATATCCTTACGAGTCTTTCCAAAACGCCTCCTTGTTATGAATTGATAGGATACAACATACCCCAGCTGCGTGCTTGGCAGTTGGGATTTAGCCCTTTAAATGCCAGGACAACGGCTGGGGGGAAAGGAATCACGGCGGCTTCGCCCGCCTCCGCCCGGTGCGCGGGAGGTGAGCGGCGGCTCCGCGGGCACCCGGCACCCCCGGGCAGCCCCGCGGAGCAGCAGCCGCCCACTCGGTGCTCTGGGTGCAGACAGCCCCAGGAAAGAGCCCCCTGCTAGGCAAAGGAGAAAATGGTACTTTTCCCCCGCAAGCTCTTTTAATTTTACTATGCTTTTCGTCCTACTGCTCAGCGAGTCAACATAAAAAGCATGTTCAGTATCTAGTTTGCATAGACTGTAATAAAATAGCGGAAAGGTTGCCCGGGTTCTCCTCGGAGGTGTCCTGCTTGGGAAACAGGGGCCGAACAGGCGCATTTTTCTTCCCAACACAAAATTAATTAAACTTCGAAGATATTTTAGTGGGCGTTTACTTAATAAAGTTTTCCTGTATCCATTTTCCCCAGAATAGTGCTTATCGTTAAAAAAAAAAAAAAAAAAAAAAAAAAAAAAAAATTGCAGGAAGAATTTACAGTGTGATCTTCTGTTTTGGGGCTTGCAACAGGTGTCAGAGCCCTCTTCGGGGAGAAGGAAATTATATATATATATATATATATATATATATATATACATATACATATACGTATATACACACACACACACGTGTGTGTGTGTAGACCATTAAATAAAATGACAGCTTTTCTTTAAACAAAAAAAAAATAGACAAAAGAAAAATGTTACCGTTTCAAACACCTTCTATGCTTATGCATCTTATACTCAGAATATATTATATGATCTTATCATGTTTCAGTCTCTATTTTCTTGTGGATTTTAATGAGATGCTGTAGTGGGAACCATCACCGGCCATCTTTAATAAGATGTACGCTTTTAATGTTATGTTTGAGTAGGTCTTTTTAAGATTGGACAACCAAAAAATGCCTTTGTTTTCAAAACTAAGAAGCGCGAATAATGGCATTGCGAATGACGTATAACTATGGACATATATTACAATTATAGGCCATCACAAATAAAAAAGTATGATGAAGCACATGTTTGAGGTGATCTACCTCTAGAAAATGAGTTACAGTTAGTTACTGTCTCTTCTCGCCTCCCTGTGTCCAGCACGATATTACCTTCTCTCCGCCAAGAGCGGGGAGAAAAATAAATTTTAAACACCCCGAACTCGTTGTCTTTCGGGGAGCACAATTTCTAACAGTTGGTTTGCAGAGTGACCAAAAAAACCCCTTAACCCAAGGTGATGCACAGCTTTTTAATCCATGCCCCCACATATATGTTTATGTTCACATATTCCTACAGCTAGTGCCTAATGTATCAGCAGCGCCTTACTCTGGGAGAGAGAGTGAGTATAGAATCCTCACAGATCTAGTGATTTCAGGCTGCCGCTTGTTTAGGAGAAGCTCCAGAAAGTTTAAAAACTGTGTGTGGGGATATTTTTTTCCATTCCTTTAGCACCCCCCGCTCGGCGAGTGCAGACGCCCGCCGCGCCAGGTACGGGCAGGGCAGAGGGAAGGGGCTCGGAGAGGGCAGCCCCGGGATCCGCGGCCACCGCCTCCTCCCGCGGGCGGATGTGCGTGGGATGTGCCCGAGGGACTCCCGCCAGGGCACCGTCCGGCACTCCCTGCCCCGGCGGAGGGAAGGGACACACCCCCGCCTGCAGGAGCCGGCGCTCCAGACCACGGGTTTTTCTCCCCTCCCTTTTACCCCCGGGACTCGCACCACAGCCAAACCAGAACAGGTTTGCTAAAAGCAAACTGCTTTCTTCAGAGCCCTTTAAATCCAGCCCGGCTCCGGGATACAGCGCACACGAGGATGCTGTACGAAGGATGCCAAGGCAGTCCCGACCCGGAAAGTGCGGTGGATTCAAGGAGGGAGGGCAGTGAAATATTGAAAGCGCTCGCAGCTGGCAGCTCACCGCAGTACCCATGGCAGGAGGGGCTTCGGCGCAGACAGGGGGTCCCAGCCCCTGGGTTGCTGCCCGCGCCCACCTCACACGCCTCAGCCAGAGTTGCAGAGGAGCTCCGGCAAAGGAGACGGAGCTTTTTTTTTTTTTTTTTTTTTTTTTTTTTTTTTTTTTTTTTTTTTTTTTTTTTTTTTTTTTAAATTTCCTTTTCTTTTCTTTTCTTTTCCTTTTCTTTTTCTTTTTTCGAAATTTCCCCAGAAAGTGCGGAATTCACAGGCAGGAAAGGGCACCAGGGGAACGAGAGGGTTCCCTGCCCTTGCGCTCGCCCAGCCGTCCCCCAGCCACAGCAGCTCCCCGAGCCTGCCTGCACCTCCCCGAGGATGGATGTGCTTCATGCCCTTGTCGCGCATGGAAACTCAGGCCATCCTGCGAACGACGTGTTGCCTAAATAAAGATAAAACGTGCTATACATCACAGGCTTTCCCGGTTATTCTCAATGACTTGTCGATTCCTCCCCCCTCCCCATCCATCCCCCTACCCCCCCGGCCCACGTGCAATGATAGAAAATGGTTTTAAATGACGAAGGGTCACGTAGAGCCATCCTGGTCGTTTAGCAAAAATAACAGAGCTATTATAGAGCTGAAGGAAGGAGCCATGGAGTTCACCCACACGTGCTCCAGTACTGTGTCTCAACTGAACACACACACATAGACAAAGGTATATGTATGTGTGTATATGTGTGTAAAGGTATATATATGTGTGTGTTTGTGTATATATATATATATATATATATATACACACACACACATACATACATACATCTATGCAGCGGCACAGTCCCGTGTGACCCTCAGGACTCTCTCATTAGGCCGTAAATACGTGCACAGATGACAGTGAGCGCTCCTGTAGGGATGGGAGGAGAGGACGCAGAAGGGCTGCTTGTGTCTTTGGGATGGAAAGTCACATAAAGCCTTTTATGAGAGCTCGGGAGACAGCAGTTGCTCACTAACTTACTTTTCTCTCTCTCTCTCTCCCTTTTTTTTTTTTTTTTTCATCTCTATTGCCGAAAACTGGAAATAATTAAATTCTTTAAAGGTTTACTTTTGAAACCGTCGCTGGAGTAAACTATGATTCAGGTGTAAATAATTACCAAAGTCATGAAAGCGGCAACTCCTACATGTGGTTTATTCATTGCTTGCCTTTTTTTCTTTTTGGTTTTTTCTTTTAGTCGTTTGATCATTTTCATCCCTAACTGTCTGCCAAATTCACATATTTGTAATTTACTAAACTTTATCGTTCCTACCAGGATAGGGATGTTGTACATTAGTTTCCAGACCCGTCCTGCCCTGTCCCGGTGAAGAAGCCTGGCTGGATGCTCCTCAAGAAAGGATAACGCTATTACCCTGGTTTTAGAACTGAATAAAAGATGCTTCCCCTTTCATAAACGCTACCAGACCCACTCGATTTTAGGCTCCCGAGAAGAAATGAATTATTAAATGAAAGAAATTGTTTAAACACAATAGCTACTTGGCTAAATGAAAGCAATCCCTGGGGCAAGACTAGCAGGGTTTGGCCAGAGAGCACAATAATATTAAGTATCCGTTAAGCAAAAATCTTAGAGAAATAGGACGGACGTGGACGTATAATACACAGCATATAAACAAAAGCCCAGGATTTACTTCATTCCTGTTTTCTTCAGCCTGCTCCTATTTTTTCTTTTTTCTTTTGCCTACACTACAACTTCAACACATTTGACTCTTCAAAAAGCCATGGTGGAAAAAAAGGCAGGAAACCGAATTTTTTTTTTTCTTGCCTGTGTCTTATTTTAAAAAGTAAATTTTGCATAGTAAGCCAGCACTTGAACATGTTCTGGTGTTGTAAAAGTGTTTTTTATCAGGCTGTAAATTACTGCCACTCTGACAGAGCAGCCGGAAATGTAAATCACACCGTACAACTGAAATTATGAAAAAGTTTGTTCCCTTTTCTGCGTCCCAGGAAGATCTCGGGGCTGCTGGATTGGGAAGGGAGGGGAAAATCTTGTTTACTATTTTCCTTCTTCACCAAACTGTTGGCTCCACGGTGCCTGGGACTTTGATGAGAAAGAATGGACAATGTGCAGAGTCCCTTCCTATGACACCCAGGCCACCGCCACTTGGGAGGTCCTTTGGCCTAATGCAACCACAGCTAACTGCTCCCAACAGGAGGCTCTGTGGATCAGGCAGGGTCACAATTATACTTCTGCTAAAGGCAAGAGTTGCCTTAAAAAAAA